AAAGCTAGCCGACGTTATAGTACGCTATAAGTTGTTTATATCGTAGAGCAGGCCTATATATAGCACTATAGGAAAAATATCGCTCCGCCGTAAGCTTTCTTACGAGTCTACCTTATATATAAGATAATAATAGGCTAGCTCTAGTAACTATACCTATATACCCTTATATATACTATACTACTTTTCCTGCCGTACGGAGAGTTCGTTAGTATTAACGTAAGCGCGAAGCAATTACTTCTATTAGGATACTAAGAAGATTACTATAGACGCGCGCTATAGAAGGTTTTCGGCTTTTTAGGTATTTTGCGCACTCCCGGTTTGTTATAGTATAGCTATAGAACCCGTCGACTGTCTCGCGCTATATATATTCCCCGAATCCGGCATCGGCAACGCTAAGAGTATAATTATTTTCAGAGTTTAGCTTAGTATAAGCTAGGACGCTAAAGATTAAAGCTATATATAGACAAGTCTAACAAATCGCGACCGTATCGGTAAAGTATACTAGAACGCGGCGTCTAATATCTCTATAGATCTACTTAGGCCTACTCGATAAGAGGTCTTATAGGGCGTTAATCTTATAGTATACCTATATAGTTATATTTATTTTATAATATCTATTTCGCGAGGGTTATTAGCAAAATATAAGTCTATTCTAGAGCAGACGCTAAGTAGATAGCCGAAACCTGCTTCTACTAACGGCCTATTAAAGCCGAGTCGTCTATTACGAATATCCTCGGCCTTAACTAGTCGATTAGGTTTAGTGTTCTAGACTATAGAGAATCTAGATCGCAGAGATTAGCCGCCCGGTTATCTATTCCTACCTAAGGCTACTAGTACTATACCCGCTTTCTTTATACTATAACGGTCGATCTTATCTATTAATCTAAGATATATACGATTAGCGGCATTTCTTCTGCTCTCTAGTATATTCGATATTCGATATTTATAGTAGGTATAGTAGGCATAGCGTTAGATTAATTATATAGGCGCTCGTTAGGGAAGATTCTATTAAGTATCCTACTTAATAGAGCCGAACTCTAGGCCCGGTTTAGTAGGCTCTACTCTATAGATACTTATAGTAGCGAAGAGTCTATACTAGTTAGTAGTAATAGCGTTTTAGCGACTATATTGCCTAGCCTAGGTTTATATTAGATAGGCGGCAGTTCGTTACTATAGACTATAAGCTATAGCCTCTTTATACGCGCAAGAGATATACGTACTGCTCGCTACCGCCTATTATAGTACTTAATAGACTAGTACGGTAGTATAAAATATATAGGCCTAAGACTATCGTATCTATTATATAGAGAAGAGGAGAAATTCTTCGTTATATACGCTCGTATTATTCGATAGGATAGTTAGCTCGAGATCGTATATATATTCGAGAAGCTATTCGGAACGAGAACGAAGGGTAGTCTTATATCTATTTACTATTACGTACGATAGGAATAGGGCCTTACGAAAGTTCTAGAGTATTCGTCTAGATATTATACTACGGATCGTAGAGAAGTAGAAAAGCAGGCGACAGATCTGCTATACGAGTTCCTATTATAGATTAGATATTTGTCTTCTATAAGATAAAATAAAAAAACCTTATCTATACGATTTAGTATTAGCGCTGTTTTCTAGTCTACTAATTAGAATAGTAAGTACCTTATAGTAGTACGAAGTATATAGATAAGGTTAGCCTAGCGCTAGCCGAAGATATATACCTAGGCGGTTCTACTATATAGAGGAGAAGTCGTATAAGTAGAGCTCGATCGTTTAAAGCGCTATATCGTTCGATAGCTTTAGCCTACTCTTTCCTATATATCTATCTAATCTTATATAGCTAGACTAATAACTATTCTCTAACTTGCCTTTATTTATAGGATATAATTATTCGCTAGAGTGCGCGAGCCTCTTCCTTTCGTATATCGATATTCTTTTAGACCTAGTCTTTATTAATCCTAATAGAGACTAAAGGTAGCTTGCAAGGATAAATTATTATCTATTTAATTCTAATACTCTCCTTCTAGAGTTTTAACGAAGCTCGTACTATATCGTAAATAGTCTTACTATCGTTATTAGATATACTTATATTAGCCCTAGCGGCGACTAGTATCTCTGCTAATTTTCGCGGCTATAGTTAAGTACTCTTAGTAAGACAGTAACGCTATTACGGTCTCTAAATCTAAATTCGGCTTCGTAATCGATTAGTAGCTTAATAATATTCTTATAAACTTCTTCTATAATAGCGAGTAATAATAGCTTATCGTTAGGCACTCCCTTAATATTAGTAGCGTACGCTATATCTACTGCCTCGAGTAATAATTTATAAGTATCCTTAAAAAAGTTTAAAATATAGAGGCTATAGAAGAGTATAGCTAAATCGTCCCTTATTTAATTAGTACTAATAGGATTCTCTTAGAGCGCTAATCTAAGGTTCGTAGTATCTTCGGTAGTAGTTAGGCTTTGCGATTCGTATTATACGCCTTACTTAATTCGTGCTTATATATTATAAACTCTAAGACCTAAGAGAGCGTTCTCGATCTCTATCTTATCTTCCTCGGCTATTTAGGTCTCTAATTCGTTCGAGTATTATTATCGGATTGCGGTACTATATCTTTATAAGACGCCTAACACTTAGGACCGTATGTTTTCTAGTTAACGGTTCTCTATCTCTCTTACGATAATCGAGCTCCTATTATATATCTTTAGTCGTAGGATCTTCCTCGAATAGAAACAAAATTTGTTAATCTCTAGAGAAGATATAACGTCCGTTATTATCTTTCTTAGGTATATAGTAAGGAGCTCTTATATCGCGTATACTAGACTCGGAGTTTATAAATCTATAAGAGTAAATTCCTTTAGGATACGAATAGGGATATCTAATCCTTACGACGTTAGAGTCCTAGGTTAATGCGATTGCTTTTAGAGTATTTATCTTAAATACAAAACGATACTTAAAAGCCTTTATATTAATTATAGATAAGAAAAGAGAAGTTAAAATAGAGAGTAGGCAATAATAATAGCTACTCTATAAAGTGTTTAGAGTACTATTACTACTATATTAGATCGGAAGCGTACTCTACTAAGAAGCTTCGGAGACTTCCTAATATCTATCCTTAGGATGTCCTCTAGAAGTATAATAAGAAGAGAGAGTATACTCGAGGTAGAGTATCTCTCGATACTAACAAGCGTAAGCAATCTAGCTCGAGTACTATAGTATTAGGAAAAATATAAGGCAGCGGAGGAGATATTCTAGTAGGCGCTAGAGGGCAGTAAGAAAGTGCTCGGAGCAGAGTATCCCGATACGCTAACGAGCGTATTTTGTCTCGCCTATCTCTTTTATTAGAAGTACGATTTTATAGCTACTCTGCCTCTCTATAAGTAGGCTTGCGCTAGGTATACTAAGGCTCTAGGCGTAGCACACCTAACTACTAAGGTATATATAGCCCGTATAGTATCGCTATAAGATTAGATCGGGGAGCCTTAAGAAAATTATCTTCTAAAGCCCGATCCTATAATATGTCCTCTTCGTAGAATACTATACGCTAATTACTAGATCGAGCAAGGCGTAGAAGTAAGGCTACGACGCTAATTAGTAAGTTATAAATAGTATTAGTAGTAGTATATAACTCGAACTGCCGAAACTACTTACTAAGACTATAATCTAAAGTCGGGTAGCCGCTCCTATTCTAGTTATACGATTATCTAGCTAGGCCGTTCTTCTCCGTCTAGTAGCCGGCTAATTCCTGCCTAATATACTACTTCTAATCGAGCTATATAAGCTTGCGACTCTACGAGTAGCCTCTACTTTCTGCTATTAGTAGGCCCCGATAGTAGGTATATAGTCGATATAATATATAGTATTATAGTAGCGTCGAGGCTAATACGGACTACTTAGGCTATATATAAGCAAATACTAAAAAAGAATAAAGCTACGTCCGATAGATACGAATAAGGCCGAGCAACTATAGTACTAATCTAGAGATATAACGTATAGCTAGTAATCGACCGAGGTAGGTAAGGAATATATTATAAGCGATACCTAAGGTAATATAGCTATAGTAGTAGACTATAGAGAGGTTAAAGTACGAAGTACCTTTTTCGTATTCTGCTACGTAGGGGTTCTATTAGGCAGAGACTAGGTTTAGAGACTTAGGAAGAGTATAAATCGTACGATAGTCTATACTATTAAGCCTACGTATTTCTTTCTAGTAGCTCTATAGTATATCGTCGTATATAGCAATCTCGAACTATAGTTAGATCGCCGCTATTCTAAGTATTTAAGATATATTTAACGTTTTCCCTTCTAACTAATACCTTAATAATGTTCGCCGCTATAGTATAACTCCTAGTATAGTACGACCGAGTAAAGATAAACTCGGAGAATTAACCCCCCTACCTTTGCTAGTATTATAGATAGGTACGTAGTACGAGCGTTATATACTCTAAATAATACTAATTATAAAAGTAGGTAGAAGATAGGTCCCCTGCGTTACTCTAGTCTATAGGACTCCGGAACTTGAAACTATAATAGTATATCTATAACTAGGTCTATAGTACGAAAATAAATATTATTACTTTTCTATCTCGCTATACTTCCTTACTTTACTCTCTTATTTACAAATTATATACTTTACGTAGGAGACTAGATAAGAGCTTCTTATTAGTATATCTACTTATACGAGTATCTATATACGCTAGGGACGGAGCCGAGAGCCTCCTATCGACCTCTAGCTTTTAATTATCTATCCTCTATTGCTTAGGTTCTTAACTCTAAACTCGATATAAGCTACGACTAATAATAACCTTACTAGCGCTACTACGATAGCGAGGTCGTACCGAGAACATTTCGTACTACTACCTACTTATTTATCTCCTATCTTACTCTATAGTATCTAGCGTTATTAGTATACGATATATACTAAGGGTTTATAAGTAATAGCGGTATTATAAGTTAGTATATCCTTCGAGTTATAACTATAAGTCGTAGTTCTATAGGATATCCCGGGTATCGTATCTCGTAGAAGTCTACTACGTATTAATATATATAATAGCGTATCTATCTATCTATAAGATACTAGGAGCGAGCCGGCTATAGAGCTATATATATAACTAGTTAGTCTGCTTCTATAAATTATACTCTATATTCGGCCTAGAGAAAGTTAGTAAATCGCAAAATAAGCCTAGTAAGAAAGACTAACTTACTAGCGGATAGAGGTAATATTAAAAAAATATACGTAATCGAATATAGTATTATAAGCTATATAATACGGTTTACGGTTTAAAGGGTATTAGCAATTATACTATACGAGAGTAAGTCTCCTTAAAGTAATAACTATATAGTTTTCTTCCTTAGTAAGAAGAACGTCCCTACGTATAGGACGAGCGTAATAAGTTAAATAATAAAGATCTAAATATAATAATACTATAAGTACTCGGCCTCGAAGTTCGCCGAAACCTAATACTATAAACCGGTAGCTATAAAGTATTAATCCCGTCCGCGGATCTAAATCCTAATCCTAGTAAGGAAATATAACTAGACCTAGACCCCTAATATTATTATTATAAACGTTCTATCGCTTAGCTACTTACTATATACGGTAGTAATATATATATATATATAGCGATAAATAGTATAAAGAAGCTACTGCTTATATCCCTAGAATATAGTAACTATACTTATACGAAGCAAGGTGTCGAAGGTACTAAGATACTGCCGATATAGTACTAGTACTAGCTTATAAAAAACGCACTACTCTACTAAAGATCTACGAGTAAGAGATTAAGAGTAAGGACGATATATCGATTATAGCCTAGCTAGGTCTAGTAATAGCCTCTCTATCTAACTATATAGAGGAGAATAACCGCTATTACGCATATATAGCTGCCGACTAAGAGTGTTACGAGTAAGGCGAATACAATAATACTATCTCGGTAACTAGAGGTAAGCATTAGCCTGCTATAAGGCGGGGGAAAGTATTCTTGTCTATTAATAGTAATCAGCGGGCTGTAAGGCGCGAAGTCCGTATTACCGTTCGTTTTATTAAGAAACGCCATAGGTATGCTAATCCACATATCGCTGTTGTAGGGCCAAGTTTTGTTGACTACGTGAGGACCAGCGCAAAGCGGGGAAAACTGCGCGTCATCGCAATGTCTTCATGAAACCAGGAAGTGCTGTAGCAAGAATGGATCTGAGTTTGTTTTGGTCAGGCTGTAAACTTGCATTGGAGTTGCCTCCAGGATAAAAGGCTCAATCAGGTGAAGCTTCGGTCTAGTCTTGGACGTGGGAAAACGCATTCAGAAGGCGTCCGCACAGCGCCCGAAGTGTTTTCCCGTTTAGTAGAATGACCTGAACATGTTGGCTACTCTTGAGGTGTGCGTGAACTGAATCGGTCTCCGCTGCTCTCCCCGCTTTTCGCATGCAGGGACATCTCAGAGAACACAGCTTCCACTGTTGCTCCTTGGGGCGTATATTGCATATAACGCCAACTGCACGTCCAGCTACCCTCCAGAACAAGGGATGGCTGGCAGAGAGAGAGAGTTTAGCGTTTTGCCACATAATCATATAACTTACAAACATTAGTTTCGAGTGGAACGTGTGTAACGACCATGACTCACATGTTTGCTTATGGTTGATTATGCGCATTCGTGTTGGCCTCATGAAGCGCGCGTGGAGATTTGGGAGTGTCGAGAAATCCAGGATAAGTTAAAAGTCATACCGGGAATCGACCACTAACCAACTGCTACGTCACCCAGTCGGACCGCCCGAACCAACAACCACACCATTGCCGTCAAACTCCATCGTTATACGGAGGCCTTCTCAACGACGGTGCAGATATATTTCTCCAAGTGCCGGCTTCTTTCGTCCCATATCTGGTGTACTACATTACAGTTATGTTATTCATGACTCCCAGACCTCGAAGTGCATCCGGGCGTTCGAGATGCTAATGTGGACTTAGGGATGTTCCGTGCAGTCGCATTTATCCAAATCGAGGTTTGCTTGCCTGCTTTCAGGTCTATAATGGCGTTCTGTAATCGCGATTCGAGAGACGCGTTCATATCACGTATTATCGCGGTCATTGCGAAGAAAAAATTAGATGGAGGTGAAGCGGTCAGATGTTGGTGCTCCGATGACCGGGGTGTCCCGGTAAACCAGGATTAACGTTAGGTCAGATCGAACGAGCCGATGCCTGGAGTGGTGAGCAGGCGAGAGAGTAGATCGGGGTCAATGAGGACCGGCACAAAACGCTCCGGGTCAAATCGAGACATCCGCGTTCGAAAACGGGGGCGTGTTCGCTGCACATTACTCCCAATCTTGTCCTGCGCAGAGCCATGTTCGAGATGGCGTAACAACAACCTTCCGCAGCCAAGAAACTTTTGGTGCAATTCGGTCTGCACGTCGTCCGAACCTACAAGAATGCGCCCGGGACTCGTGGTTATAGAGGAACGACCGTAGTGTTCTCTAATTCGTTTAAGCGGCTCGGAGAAGATAGGAAAGACCAGACATTTTACCGCCTTTGCTGGTCTAGACGCGCCTAGGCCCTAGGATCGGAGTCGACGGGGATCTTGCCGCTCTGCCGGCGCTTGTGAGGGGAGCTATCGAGTCTATGCATAGCTAGATTGAATATTACTAACTAACCTTATTAACGTTATGCTTTATTAGAATATTACTAACAAGTGTAATTTGCTTTATTAGAACAATACTATTACTAGTACTTTGCCTTATTAGTAGCGCATTAACAGCCGTACTTTCCCTTAGTAGACCTCGTCGAGCCTTATATTTAAAAACGAATACTAATAGTCGGGCCTTGTTTCCTACGAATACTATCTTAATTTCTCTATAATAACGTTCTCGGCGGAAAACGAATATACGTAGTTATAAGAGAACGATTATCGATAACTAAAGCTACTAATTATATTAGTATCGGCTATTTCTTAAGGCCGAGCTTATAGTACTCGAATTAGCTTTATCCGCGATTAAGCTAAGCCTTACTACTATAGCTATAAATAAGAGGAAAGATCTATACCTACGTCTAGTAAGTACCTCGAGTCGATATAATTTATAGAATTTACCTATACTAACTTCTTAGACGCGAAAGAATCGCAGATTTTAGATAGTATATTATACGAAAATATAGCGAGCTTTATAAAGGCTTTAACAGAAATATATAGTCGACTTATACTACTTAAGATCCGTAATACTTACTCGTTAGTATTATTATAGTAGCTAAGTTCTATAGACTCTTAGCTATTCGGAGCGACGAAGGAGATATACTATTCGCGTTATTAAGGAATAGCGACTTCTACGCTCTCGGAAGTAAATATATACGACGAGCTTAGTTTAGCTTTATATACTCGAGTAGTAAGCGTATTAGATCGTAACGTTAGTAGCCTTAAAAGCTCTACTCTTCCTATCCTATATCTAATATCTACGTAATAGTATTATAAACTCTCGTAGTATAGGTTTAGAGATATATTAGATTCGCAAGATTTATAATAAGGCATATTAGGTAAGGATAGCTAATAGGCTAATCCTCTATATAATACTATAAGTGCTTTCGATAAAAATGTCTCTTAAGCCTATTACGATTGCGGACTGTTTTTATACGTTTATTAACGTAGAGGTCCGCCTTGCCGATATAGAATATATATTATATTAGAGCGTATATAATAGGAAACGGATCTTACGTCGCTTTAGTTTCGCCTATAAGGTCGATACTTATATTACTATTATACTTATTAATACGCGCTGCCTTTATATAATACGTCGTCTATATAGTAGGTTGCTAGTATCTACGTAGGGCTAACGCCGCATTTATAGCGTCCCCTCTATAGTCTACGTTCTTCGATAGAGTCTAATATCGCTATTATAAAGAAGACCTAATAACGCGATTCTACTCTTCGTTTAAAACGACAATCTAGCTAAACTTTCGGTCGCGTCTCTTTATT